TATATATATATATATATATATATATATATATAGGCCTGGGTCTCTTGGTGGCCCCCTGGTGGTGTGGGGGTTCTAAGCAGCTGCTTGACTCTCATATGCTTTGGGCCGACTCTGTGTGTGTCTGTGTGTATGTCAAGTTTGTTTTATGTCTAACCTGCTGTTTCTCTACCCAGCCTTCTATGCCACAGCCAGCTTTTGGGATGAGTCTGGATCTGGTAAAACTGGACCATTTTCCCCGTTCGCCTTCTCTTCTGTCATATTTCCACTCTTCACCTCATCCTCCTCCACTTCCCTTTTTTAACCTTTATTGGTCAAACTGCAGAAGCACCCCTCTGGGGCGATCAGCATCTCCCTCACTAACACCACCCGCCCCGTCAAACACACACAAACTCACAATCCATCACTCACCCTGACCTGGCACTGCCCCAGAAATCAGCAGCACCATGTGAAGGCAGAGGCTATGATGGGAAAAGCTGCATGCGCTTTAAAAGTCTCACCTTGTCTCTTTCTGCCTGCAGCCACCATGAAGTTCTCAGGCTTCCTGCACCTCGACCAGGTCGATGACCAGGAGATTTTCTACACCCCTGAGATGGAGGACCCCAAGTCTGAGCTGTTTGGAGAGACAGCACGCAGCATAGAGAGCGCCGTAAGTCCAAAAGCAGCAGTTTGTGTTCAGAGTTCAGCCCAGGCAGCATTTCTTGCTGATTTGGAGCAGATTTGCACCGTTGAATTTTTATCATCTGTTTTTGGATACACTCTTCTGCTAGTGTAAGCAGTTTCCCTGAACTGTATCCGGTTTAACTTCACTGCTTAATCTCTTATGTGGTTTATTCAAAAAACAAAGTGACTATGTGAAGACAAAACGTCTAACATACAGAAAAAAACTCATTTTAATCAAATATTTAAGCACTCCAAAACAATATTTTTAGTTATTTTTGTTGATTTTCAACTTTTTACACAGAGAGTTCTTATTTGGGTGTAAGGGCTCTCCACCCAGGGCATCATGGTTTTGGACACGGCAGAAAAATGTTTAAAAATCTTAAATATTTGGGCCAGATATTCCAACAATAACTAGAGACTGTAAAACACAATTGTATTTCTAAATGTGTATTCTAACTGTGGAAACACAGAAAAGCAACATTTTCATTGATCCTTAAAGCTTTTTGGACCACTTAGAATTAGAAAAACATTTAAACTGTATGATAAAGAGCTGGACTAGAGTGCTCCTATGCTGACCATGGATTCTTTTAAAACACTGTTTGTGAAACATTTGATCAGTATGTCAAGAAAAATAAAGATTTTCACTTTTCTTACTTCAGATTCACTAAATTTTGATAATACATAAGCAGATCAAACTTGGACTTTTAATATTTTACGTTGCTTCCACTGTGTTGCATATATGTCGTAACTTGGCACCATTGGTGTGTTATGACCCGTCTAGGGGTGGCCAGATCATAACATGAAGGGTCCTATCATCCTAACATCCATCCTCTTCAGATCTCAAGCAGCTGACACACAAAGATGAACATTTTATAATGTTATTTATTTTTTTTGTAATTATTTTTGACTGAGATGCTACAACAAGTGGAGTGCATGGCTTCAGAGTGAGCTATGGTGCCAAAAACAACAAACAAAAGGAAACTAAATGAATATTAACCAGAACTTACCTATTTGAAAGTAAATAAACCAAATGACAAAAACTTAGCTCCCTAATTAAGAAAAACATGAGAAAACTAAGGAAACATAAATGACAGCTCAATCCTACAAACTCCAAGAACTTTTACAAGGTGTTTAACAGACAAACAGTGTGAGATGAGCTGAGGCTGGATGGCAAGAAGTCTATGTCAGCAGCTTTATATCTGTCACTTCCAGGAGGCAACCAATTAGACGTCTCCGTTGTCTTCTGGGAGCCAATCAGGGATGGGTACCTGCACATTCACATTTTCATGATTAAATTTACAATGCCAGCCATAACAGGTGGAAAAAGGAGTTTTTGTTTTGGTTACTAAACAAAATCAAATTTCATTTTTAAAAAGTTTTCTTTATCGAAGAGGCCCTGCTGGGTGTGTGTGCATGTGCGTGTCCGTGGGACCACTGTGTTTCATTTTCCAAGTGACCTTTTTTAGATTGTCAGCATCTACAGGAAAAGCAAACATGAGTTAAATTTAGCAGGTAACATGCACGATGACAGGTTTTAGAATAAAAATCCCTGTCCTTGTTCTGAGCTGGTTCTGCTGCCCTCAAGTGTCCAGCTGACAACCGACTCCAGTCAAAACTATCACTGAGGCCACAGGGAGAAGGAAAAAACAAATACTTTGCTGCAAATGTTTTGTTTTCCAAGAATGTTCTTGTCAAGAGGCCAAAAGCCTCTGAAACAAGATTCAAAGTGCCTCGACAGAATAAAGCTCCTCGCAGAGCAGCTTTCTAATCCAATTCTTTCCGTTCTTTCAGGCAGGTATCACAGCACATATTACAGACTTGACACCTCTGAAGCTGCTGAGTAATATTCTGCCACGCTGAGCTGAAGCAATTTTTCTGCTCTGATACATTTGATATAAAAATAACAATAATGAAAAAAGGACAGAGGAAAAAGAAAGAAAATGCATTTGGTCAGAAGACATACATCAAAGGAGATGCCCTGCCTGATATTTAGTTTTTAATAAAAAGGAGCACAGTGGCAATCTGTTATATCAGGTGATCTGTGCTGAAGATTATGTATAGCAATTGAACCCCATTTTTAAGACCAAAGTAGATGGAGGAAAAAAAAGAACCAAAGGCTTTTCACAGCATCTCGGTTTATTTCTGCTATTCTTTTCTCATTTTTCCTCTTCTGAATATTACTTTTCTGCATATAGATGATTAATTAGGAAAATCTTTGGCAATGTGTGTATGAAGAGACGCTCTTCAAGTTTAATAAGACCCCAACTGGAAGAAAAAAACATCTCTATGCAGAATTGTGCAGTTGCTTGCCAAACAAATTTACAATACCCAAAAGCGGTTTTCCATGAGAAATTAATTAGGCCTTTTCTGCTTTTTATAAAAATTCAAACATTATTTTGGATAAATCCGAGCATCGTACAGTTGGATAATCATGCTGTTAGCAAGCTGAGAAATACAGCCGCCATAATCAAAGTTTAGCCACTGACTTTCTCCATTGTCCGTTTCCTTTGTGACAATCCGGGGCCTCGCTCCTCACATGAAACGGGAACCTGTGTGTAGGCGTGTGTGTGTGTGTGTGTGTCTGTGTGTGCTGTTCACTTGTACCAGCTGTTAAATCAGTGTCACCAGCCTCCACTGGCACCTAATCTGCTGCCTCACAGCGGTGTGTGTGTGCTCGTTAACGGTCTCAGCCTGTGGGTCTCTTGAAGCCCTGTGTGCTACTCGACAGCATCCAACGCCCTCCTCTACATCTTGCAGGACGACCACTGAGCACACACTATACTTACACAAATGGACTTAGCGCTAGCAGAAGGCGTGCAAAGTCACAAAGTGGCTCTTTACTTGAAAAGAGTCAAGCTGTGGCACAGCTCTTTAAAAAACATGAGAATGTGCTTTTTCAGAGATAAATTAAAACGTTTGCAAGGAGGACAGGAGTGAAGTGCGTACTGAGGGGAAGTTTGTGTATACTGACTCCATCGCTAATCCAGCTTTGGAGGGTTTTACTGCCTAATTTGCTGTCACACCTTCACAAATCTGAGGAGTTTAGTGTTTGCAGAAAAAAATCCTGAGCGCACTCAACAAGCTCAGCAAAGTGTTCCTAATCGGCAGTGTGAGTGGACTGCCAGTTTAAGTGTCATTACTGACAGGGTAGAAATAAGATCATTAAAGTTTAGTGACGCATTTATTCTGATGTGCTCATCAGCAGGAGCTGAATGTGCCTTGTCTATTAAATTACATTGCTGTATTCAGTCATAAATACAGCAATGTATTCATGACATTGCTGTCATGAATACATGACAGCATACCCCAACCTGATATGGTTGGGGTATGCTAGTAATGACTGACTAGTAATTAATATTATAAAGCAATTTAAACAAAAGATGGAAAAATGCATGATCTAACTGTTTGTGTTTGTAACAGAAATCCAATAATTGTTCTGAGTGCTGTAAATGTCATTAACTGATACAGATAATTAAGTTGTTTTGATTTTGATAATAAACTTAAGCAAATATACAGAACAACAACTCAGTACTAGCTCTGGTTTTCTGGTAGTAAATACATGAAGAATGACTCTCTAGCCTTTCCCTGTTCTGCTCTTTACAGAGTAACAAAGGTACAAAAACCTCATTTTAGCTGTTTAGTTAATTAGACCCCATTTTGCTCAGGCAGAGGGCGTCAGGCTTGTTAATGTTTGTGAACGTGATGTCTACAGTAGAAGCATGCTAATAACAGCTTTAATCTTTTGGAAATTTATTTTTGGTAACTACTGTAGGCTGAATAATGTAAATAGAACACATTTCCATTTACAAAGTCCTCTATGAATGTTTGTTGTAGATAGTAGTTATGCTAACGTACCTATCTGAAAACACAGCTGACTTCTTCTAAACATTCACAAATTAATTTCTTTCTGTATAAGGGGAATTTGTTGTTAAATCACAGCAATGTGAGGGAAGGTAAACAGATGACTTAGCCATTAGCTGTACAGACTAGTTTTTGCTAGCACCTTAGCATTCGATGTACTGTAGATTAAAAATTCATGAGATTAGGATAGAGACTTTTAGCTAAATAGAGACTTTTTTCTTTGTTTTTATTTTGTGTTACCTGGACTATAAGTATAAATATTGGCATAGTTATACTTATACATATTTTCATCTTTTAGAATAAAATTTGCAAAGTTTTCAGTTTATTTTGAAAATTTGAGGCTAAAGGTGAGCTTATTATGAAAGTTAGCTTTAAAAACTAGCTAGTTTCTTTGAGTTGCTCAGCCGGTTACGTTGTACACACCGAGTCATTGTAGGAAAAACCAATAAGAATGTCAAGGTAGCTTGGCATTTATCTTTGCTGCTCCTGGAAACCTGCTCCTAAAATTAATGTCACCTCAGCCAGCTAAATGTCAATTTGAGCTCCCACACCTAGTGGCCTTCTTCCCTGCAAACCGATTTGAGAGGGAGTCTTTCTTCTTTCCAGATAGTGAACAGTTTTGTGGAATTAAGGTGTGGAGCTCATTACTGTCCTCATTTATCATCTGTTGTCTCCATCTGTCTTTAAGCTGCTTTCGTTTTCTGCATAACAGCTCAATGAGATGTTCAGGAAGTCACAGGTGCACAAGGACTTCATGGGAGTTCGAGTACGTCAACTGGCTCCAAGCGGCTCCATTATGGCATTCGTCGAGGCCCATTTCCGACCAGGTAAGAAAATTACATGTGCAAAACACAACAGACTCAAAATAGTCAAAATAGGAAGAGAAAGGAAATATATATATATATATATATATATATATATATATATATATATATATATATATATATATATATATATAAATTATGAAAACATAATCTTTCTACACATTTAATTTATTTAAAAAATAATTAGCTTTTCATGATTCAGCTGTTCTGGCACCTAAATTTAGATTTTTCATTACTACATATCAAATTGCAGCCACCAAAAACTTTAGCATTTTGTCTTCCATCCTTTTGTCTTAGTTGTTAGTTTTCCCAGTTTACCAATAATCCTCACACAAATGTAAATAATAAGTGCACACTGGCCTAAATGCAATCAGCTGACTCCATGAAGATCAGACAAACAAACCGAAGAGCCGACGTTTTGGAAAAAATCCAAACTGTATTTCTGAATAATGAGCTGTTGATTTGGTCAGTTTGGGTCAGTTTTCCAGAAACCTGGTGAGTTATGAAAGTTTATTGAGGTAAATAGAAATGGGGGTAGACAACGTTGCAGTGATCATAAAAGCAGCTGAATGATTCATTAAAGATGAAACTGATGATAACAAACAAGTTTGTCCTGTTTTATAAAAACTCTTCCATACATACAACCAACAGGCTGCAGAGTAAGGTAGCACATGGCCACATGTCGGTGGCCATGTGCTCTTACATCAAAGTTTATAATCTGAAAATAAAACATTTTACCTACACTCAGCTCCAGCTGAGCCCAGCATGTCCTCAACCTCTGAATATTCCAGAGGTGTGCCGATTGATTGGCCACCGATCATAATCGGCTAATTTTCCATGAAAAAGTGTATTATCAGTGATCGCCGATCACCTTCTCTTGTTACCAATCACACAAACCGATCACCTGGATATCACTTCACAGCCTGCCTGTGCAGCTTATCTCCTCTTTCTTCACACTGTGCAAGTGCGTGGCAACTAATCCTGTTGTGTGGAACTATAAGGCTCAGAGTGAATGAATAAGTTTGCGTGTTGCAGCGGAAAATTACCTCGGGGGTGAAGCACGTCAAAATGCATCAACACAACGAATCTAATATGACATTTAAAAAACCAGCACTTGACGGAACTTGGCTACATCGAGGCTCAATGCAGGAAGAAAAGACATCGGGAACGAACAGTCTGCAGGTAAAGCAGCGCACAACTACCACCACTCACCCTGATTAGCATGATGGTCAGAAAGCTAACAAATAACCCAAAAGAATAATTTAAATCAATGAGCTAGCGGTTCTGCTCTCGCTGTTGGACCACCAACCACTACACGCTACTGGTAGTTTCTGCTCCACCATGTAGCACTACTTAATGTACTAAGGGACTAGATGGCATATGATGTCAGAAGACTAAATTCATCTACTGGAGCTGTTGTCAGTAATCAATAAAATACAAAAGAATAACTGCTTTCAATACCATGTATTTTAAAGAAGAGAAAATTAAAGTGAACACCACAAGACACAAAGCATACATAAAACCTAAAAAATAAATACAAAATATATATACACAGTACTGCAGTAAATCTTCCATATAAATGTGAAAATGTCCAAGCGCAATTTGTTTCCAATGGAGAAGAGATGAATAATGGATTGTGTGTCTGTATGGTGAGATGGAGGGGGAATACTACAGACCATCAGCCTCCTACCAGACCAGTATGGAGTGAGTTTCAGGTTCTCCTGGCCCCAGCCAGTTCTCAGAAGCTCCCCATCCTTCAACCCTAAAAAGGGTCACCGGGCCTGTATTGAAATAAACATGACCAGTAAATTACCAGCCTGCTAGTTAACTAGACTTTTTTCAGTTATATACAGAAATAAATGCAATTATATCCACAATCAAATCTTTAAGACAAAGATAAAAGCATTTATCTCATTAGCTTAAACACATATATTGAATTTAAGGAGTTAGATTATGTGACAATTGATGATCAAACAATTAGCATTGGCTACCACCACCAACATACTGAACAAACAAAACAACATTGTGTTAATTACTCACCAATTCCATATATAGTTCAGTGCATGACAACTTCATGGTTCCAAGCTCACTGGGTATTCAGATCTACATGATTTTTATATTGTGAGTTTTAAAAGTACATAATAAACAAAGAGATAAACTAATTGTTTGGAAGCACAAACCTGTAGCTCCTTTGTCTCCAGCTCTCCCCCTCACACCTCCACATGCTGGAGCAGGCCTGAATAACCACTTCAGATGCAGTGATTGGCTGAATGCACTGTGTGACTGATTGTCACTCTAACCAACGGAGCAGCAAAGGTGGGATTAAGGGCAGTTTTTACCCTGGTTTACAACTAGATAGTGAACTCTCACACCGAATGTCTGCTTAAAGCTGCAGCCTCTAACTTAAACTAACACAATATTTTACATATGTATTAAAACTTTCTCTATGTCCTAACATAAGACAGATAACCTCTGGAAAAATAGTCGATCTGTTCTGCCTCCTCCATGTGTTCTGCAGAATTACTCAGCTCGGTCAGAACCCACCAATCAGAACCAGCATTAATCAGCTAGCCATGCTCACAGGAAGTTTTGATTTTGTAATTAAGGATTGTTTATTTTCATGCAACCTGCATTTGACTTTGAATGAATGTTTCTTTTTTACTTGACATTATTTGATATAGACAGTGTTGCGAGATTTATTTGACTCATGTATAATTTATGGTACTGAGAGCCTTACTGTTAAATATTGTTTTACTGATTGCAGGTTTTTCAGTTTTCCTTTTGACTGAATAGCTGCTGTATTGTGTCTGCAAATATTTTGCATGTTTATGTCTAAGTTAGGTGAATTTATTACCAGATCATTTTTTCCATTTTGCCAGATCACATAGTAGCATTTATACATAACACAAAAAATTAACAGCCAATTCAGGTGATGGCCAAAGATCGGTGACCGGCAGTGATCGGCCCTCATGAGTGATCGGTATCAGAATCGGCAGCAAAAAACCTGATCGGAGCTTCCCTAATTATGACATAACTGATTGATTTTTTACCATAATTTAAAATTGATGGCTGATTGAATCTGGACTACGGTGGCCTGCTAAGACTATGGGCTCTTTTCACATGATACTGTATTTACAGTATCATGTAACCAAACGGTTTTGTTTTAGTTGGTTTATTTCTTGAGACAATATGTAAATTAGAAATTTTATTTAGATATAAATATGTAATTTTCTATTTTATTTTTGTTAGGCTCCACTAAGTTTTCTTTTTTATTGATTAGATATTCAGGGAGCGTATGAGTCACAACTGATAAATTGTCCCATAAATTATTGTGATAAACATGAATATTGTTGTGAAAGTGGAAGACATTTGACATACTTGAAATAAATAAAACAAAACCACAAATAAATTAGTTATGAAGTCTCTGTAAACAAACCTGTCCTTCAGAAAAAAGGGCTAGCAGAGCAGCAGACTGAAGACTTTATTAATATAATGGTTATTGAGAGAGAGAGAGAAGAGAGAAATAAGATAAATCATGCAAATGGAAAGTACTGAGCTTGTTTTAATTTAACATGCGATTAATTGATTTATTTCTTATTGCGACAGGCCTAATCATTGTTTACCTATTTATTATTGATCTCATAAAACTAAGCCTGTAGTTTTACCTCTTTAGTAAATGTAAACTCATCCAGTGATTTAGACTTTCTTGTCTTCTTATAGGAACTTGGGATGATTTATGATCAAATCTCATTTCCTCTTTCTGTTGATTCAGAAAACATTTAAAAACAAGTGTTTGGCTTTTTTTCTCCTACAAATATAATTTGATCTCAGATCATTGTAGATACATCATAACTGGGTGTTTTATCGACCATCTGCAGCAAACAAAACCAAGTCCTCCTCTTTGTCCTCCTCCCTCCTCCTTCCTCTATTTTTTATGGCCAACATTTAGCGTCCTTCATACCCTTCACACGTCTCCCCTCCACGGCTTGTAAAACAAACATCTGCAGCGAGCATAATGAGAGCGATTCATCTGGGGGAAAAAAGAAAGTGGAACCAGCGGCGACTGGAGGACAAGTGGTCCGCAGAGACCCTCCACCTGTAACACACAGGGCTGTTTGATATATTCACGGTAGCATTAAAAGGAGCTCAAGTCCTGTGTTTGCAGCGATCCACAGAGGCCTTGTCCTGAATGCCTGAACCTTTTCTTTATCGTAGATACGAGATACAATGTGGAGGACATCGAGGGAGCGCTGCTGAAACAGCTGAAGGCTTCCAAAGACACCAGCATCTCTGTAAAGAAGCCAACGGCAGAGAATATTCGCTTCACTAATTATGGTAATGTGATGTAGACTTAACAGCAAAGTGGAAGGATTTAGAAAAAGAAACTTATTCATGAGGTAGCTTACTGAAGGTTTTCTTAAGCTGAAAGTCTTAAGCTCTACATGGTTAAACTGTCATTTTTCCAACAGGTCTGTCCACCATCCCACTGTTTACCACCACCACCACCGCTGCCGCCACTGCTGCTGCTGCTGCCATCACCACAGCCTCCCCTGTCCCCACATCCAGGCCTCATTCCCCCTACTTCACACGCCGCCCACCGGGAACCACCCGCAGGCCCACCAGCTCCAGACGGACCACCACCACGCAGGCTCCGCCCACAAAAATGCTGCGTAGCACCTCAGCGCCACTCGCTACGACCGGGCGGCCAAAAACCCAGAAGCCCTGTGACTCCAACCCATGCCTCAACGGGGGAACCTGCGAGAACGACGGCGACGACTTCAGCTGCAAGTGCCTGGCTGGACGAGGAGGGGCAGTGTGTGAGAAACGTGAGCCGTGTTTTCTATCTTCTTTTCTGGTTTACTTTCCTTATTTATTATTAGGCTTAATCAGAAGTTTCAGGGTCTGCTGCTACTTTAAATTCATGAAACAGCCGGATCAGAGCACACTGAAGGCAAACATTTCAGACATCTCAGAGAGGTTTAAAGTCCTTCCATTGTATAAATCACTCTTTTCAGGCATTATAAAGGATCATCTTTGGAAACGTTATCCTTTAGTGCACACTGGTGTAGCAAAAACAACATTTTAATGCAATGTCAAATATTTACGGTTAGAAAAAAAGCTCAGCTTCAAGAAAAACAGAAAAACAGCATTGCCTTCTTAAAGCATTCATGTTCTTCAAACTGTTGGAGTTACCTATTCTTTGTTTTATCATTTAGAATTTTGTTAAAATTTATATTACTTTATATTTTTGGGTGATTTAGAAGGTAAATTTGTAGGTTAATAATTGTTGTTTTTTTGTTTTTGTTTGTTTTATTAACTAAGTTGGACAGGAAGAACTGTGGATCCATTTCTATAAGTACAGACTGGTTTAGTCCTACCATGCACTGCGTATTTACTGGGTATTTACTGGGCCCAACGCCCAGAAAATACTGGAAAAAATAAACAAACTTCCAGTGTTTTGGAAATTGTACTTTTTTAGCCTGCGTATATATCATCACCACAGAGCAGCAGAGGCTTATTGATTGGATTTTAATGGAGTTTTTGGTTTGATAAAAATTGCCACTACATGGATGTGTTATATCCATGTATTTAAATAAAAATAGAAATCTCCTCTATTGTGGGGAAATTCACAAAATTATAAAAGTATGACAATATAAATATAAAATGAGTATGATTTTATTTATAATTATTACAAAATGTGCACATATTTATATGTGTATTAAAAACAAAAGGTTGTTTACAATAACAGAAAATGGAGATGTAGACGGTTATTGAGTCAGTTTGGAGCAGAGATGGCAGGAAGGATCTGCTCTAATGCTCCCTTAGTACACAGCCGTCTATCCTGACCATCAATCTGTCCAGGTCAGAATGTCAACAGTGGACCAACAAGGCAGAGTGCCCTTAGCTGCCTGCTAAGTAGACACTTAGTACGCACCTGTGTGTGTGTGTGTGTGTTTCTGTGTAACACCAAGGTTGAGAAGTGAATGTGGAAGAGTTCCAGGTGTGAATAGTTTAGTACTGTGGTTGTTCTGCTGGTTCTAGCTGAGTGCTGTGAGTGAAGGTGACACCCTGAGTGGCGGTGTTAGTGATGGCTCCATTTACTGCTGGATTATGGAGGTGAAATGTTAAGTGGTCACAGATGTGGATTTATTGGGCGATTTAGAGCTTTACAAATTAACACCACAGAACCGAACATCAGGTTTGTATGTGTACATAATAGGTTTTAAGTCAAGTTAAAAATAAAAAAGGCATGTTTAGTCAGACACAGGCCGTTCCCTCTGCCAGCTGGACTTCATCTCCAGTGATTCAGACAGTTTCATCATCCCAGATATGTGCAGCCACTGAGCTGCTGCTCACCAAGGTTAACACCAAATCCAGAAAGCTCTGCAGAGAAAAATCATCAATCAGCCAGAACTTGTTCAGAAACTCTTTTTATTTCTTCCCCACTTTGGGATTTCAGATTTGCAACGCAGCGACCTCGCACAGCTGCATCTTCACATAATTGACACTAATTGCTTTGATGGGTATTAGATGATGAGAATGACTTTGTGCCTTTGAGTTAAAGTGGCTAACTGAAATCACAAACACCCACAAGCTGCACGCACTGCATGCACACCAGATTAATCAAGTTATTAGGACTGGAGGAGATTGTAGAGACGGACAGAAAAGATGAGATGGACGGAGGCGAAGGGTGACAGAAACGTAACCTGTTTCTATAAAAATAAAACTTCTCCTCTTTCTGATTTGACTCCTTTCCATTAAAAATGCTAAACATTTAAATAAACTGATAGAGAGGAGGTGATTCATCCTGGCCACTTATGTTAATTATGCACTTTTGACTCCTGTTAAGTATTAGTCCTTAAAACATCTTTAAAAAAATCTTGTATGTATGTACTGAAAGTTAAATGTGATTTTAAAATGTCTCTTTGAAATATGTAATTATTGAAGAAAAAAAGAAGTATTTTATTGAGATCCCCATTAGCATCAGCAGCATGCAGCATTAGCTTTTCTTCTTGGTGTCAATTTACATTAAAAAAACATTTACAAGACATCATTTTATAGATGACACATTCTGTTTTCCGTCACTCTTAAAGAAAAGCAGACGTTAGCTTAAGATAGCGAGATATTTTAGATTTTCCTTGTATAAAAATATATCAGCTGGATTATTGATTATGGTTAATCAAAGGCCTTAAACTGTGTTGTGGCAGGAATACTTATCATATATTCTACATAGTTTTCTCTTTTTTCTCAAGGGATTTTACTGCTAATGCAAAACTTTGAGTCGCATGCGGACATCTTCACTGCGGTCTGAGTGGTAGCTAGCTGCTAATATACTCTTCATAGATAGTAATAGTTTTTCATATTGCTAATAGAAAAACTTGCTAAAGTTTACTAGGTAAGCTAACAGTAAAGGGTAAAGCTAGTTTTTTTATATACATGATGGCTGGACGCTGTTCATCTTCTTCATTGGCTCATGTCTGTTGCCAACCAATAGGATTTGTTTATTTGTGATTTTGTAATAATGCAGGTTTTAAATTTCATTCCTAATGGTCTTAAAAAGTCTTAAATTTGAGTTGGTGAAAGTCGCAGAAGCCCATGCAGTATGCAGTAACAAAATATTGATAGCAGCGACTTGTGATTTTGTCCGCAGCCATCAGGTACTTCATCCCATCATTTGGTGGCCAGTCTTTCCTGGCCTTCCCGACGATGAGCGCGTACCACACAGTCCGCATCGCTATGGAGTTCAGAGCATCTGAGATGAACGGCCTGCTGCTCTACAACGGCCAAATGAAGAAGAAAGACTTCATCTCTCTGGCTCTGGTCAACAGCAGGGTGGAGCTCAAGTGAGTGCAGGACGTTTATCGATTCTGTTGGATTGAATTTAATACGGGCTTTCATCCTCCTCCATCCGTTCTTATCGCAAAAACCCGTGATGAAACATTAATGATCCCCATGAGGGAATGAGGTCATTGCAGCAGCAGCTGGGAGGCGACGTAAATAAGAGCAAAACAGAGGGCTGAGGATAATGAGGCAAATAATTACACTGAGTAAACATGTAGAAAACAGCAGAGCCAGGAAATAAATAAAGATAAGGAGACTTCTGGGTAATTTGTAGGTTAAAGTCAGACATTCAGAAACAAATCTGAGCAGTCTGAACACATGATCAGTTACAGTTTGGATTCCTGAAATGGATCTGGAGCACATATAATGTTACTGTATTTACATATACAATTGCAGTGATTCCATATATATCCTCCAAACAGTGCAGTCAGAATTTATTGGGTGTTAAGTTTGAAATAAGCATTTCTTCCGTGCAACATGACTCAACTGCAAAGGAACATACTTTTCATGATAATTAAATTTTAAAAGGTAGAACCAACCAGAAACCCAGAACATCGCCTCACGTAAAAACCTTGAGTGAACTAAGTGTTTAATCCACAAGCAAAACAGAAAAGAACTGGAAGAGAAACTTTTGCTGGTGAACAAGAAGACTCATCAGCAGTTTTGTCTCATCCTGCTTCACAAAGCTTCAGACTCGTCTCAGGTTTCCTCTATAAATCTGATGATTTGCTTCTGTTCAGCCGCTCCTTTGTAACTTTGGGTCTGTTCTGTCACTGATGAGCTTTCAGAAGCATTTACTGACCAGGGAAGCTACTGGACATTTGATATAATGGGACATTTTTCACTTTGTTTCAGTGTGGGGAGTGATGCAGCCCTCAGCATGATGGGTCCACCTCCTTGTTTGACTGTGGGGATAATGTGTCTCTGAGGGATCAAACACTAATTTCACTTACTGGCATAATTTCTTCTGTTCTGGTTGAAAACACATTGTTGATCTAAATTCCTCTCTTTATAAATACTTTCTATGAATGTGAATCTTTTGGTTTGTAGCTGAACAAACTGTAACTGATCCCCCAGCTCACTGGAAATTATAATGTTGGTCAAAAAATCCTATTTCCTGTCAAACTGAATTCACTTTTCAGTTTTTCAAAAATTCAACTAAAAGCTGTTTATGACCAACTGCTGGTAAAAATATGTCTCATAAACCATTTTATTATTTATTTATTAACAAATTATTATTAATTTGTCTGCAGATGCCTTGCTCCTGAATATTCATAGGTCTGCTTCTGGTCACCTAACAACCAAAGAATATTCTGGATCAGTTTGAAAATAAGTAGAAAAACTGAACATGTGTCAGTCTGGGCCTGTTAAATTTGATCTCGTTATAGGAAAATAATGTTGGCTTTGTATGTAACTTTTTATTGTCTGCAGTAAAAGTTTTAAAAATACGTTGTAACATTGTTCTACCAAGAAAAACCTTTCACACAATGATAGCCAAAACCCAAAATGTACCATCCGAAAGACAATTCTACCAAATAGCAGCAAACAGAAGAAATGTTGGCAAAAGTTACATGTATTTGTATACAGAAGATGAAAACATCTGCTTTCAAATGTGTGTTTTGCTGCTTTAACTTGCATATTTCCTGGTAACAAGCTGGCAAATTTAGTGCAGAATAACCTGAAAAGAAGTGAAGGTATGGAGAGAAATGCACAGATCAGTGAGAAATAAAGTAATCTGAAAGCAGGCAAAACAAGACGAGAGGAGGATAAGAGGAGTTCTGTCAGCATTTTCTGTTTTCACCCTTTGACTGGAGCTGATGACGACCAGTTCTGTCAAATTGGCCAATTTTCCTCTGAGAAACCAGCAGAAACACCAATAATCCCATAATGGTGTGTGTTCATGTCTTCCCCCAGCAGAATTGTGTTAATAAAGACCATTTTTGGAAAGGCAGCAACCTCTGAAGACAACTGATGAGACTAATTAAAAATTCACCTGTATTCCAGCTCCATCAACTTTTCATGTATTTTAGATTTTAACACTCAGAGCAAGCTCCCCTCACCCAGCCTGACCAGGCTGGATCTGTATGTTGAAATGAAATCAATCACAGAGCAAAAAGGAGATCATTACTCACCGCTGCTCTCAAAGAGAGCCTCAGCTCCAGAAATACAGCTGTGAGATTCCCACCCACAGCTTCGCAAATCCGAGACGTGGGGAAAAGAACTAATTATTTGTGGCAGATAATTGCTCTCAGGTTGAGCTAATATTGCTGCATGTGTGGATGCAGACGCACGATGTCTAATCTCTGTGATGACAAGGCCTTTTCCCCAACGAAACATTGGTAGATTAAAGGTTGGGCTTTATTTCAGTTTGCTATATTTAGCTGGAAGTTTTTGTCTCATCCACGTCTAAGTTTTTCTAAAACACATTTCAGCAACAAGCCAATTCAAAGTGCTTTAAACCATTATAGTTATGAAACAAACTATAAACATACATTTATTAAATCCATCCATTCATTTTCTTTACCCCCTTGTCCCTTAGTGGGGTCAGGAGGGTTGCTGGTGCCTATCTCCAGCTAACGTTCCGGGCAAATCGCCAGTCTGTCGCAGGGCAACACAGAGAAAGACAGGACAAACAACCCTGCACACACTCAGACCTAAGGAGAATTTAGAGAAACCAATTAACCTGACAGTCATGTTTTTGGACTGTGGGAGGAAGCTGGAGAGAACCCACAATGCACAGGGAGAACATGCAAACTCCATGCAGAAAGACCCCAGGCTGGGAATTGAACCCAGAACCTTCTTGTTCAAGGTAACAGCTCTACCAACTGCACCACCGTGCAGCCCGTTACACATTTATTAAATGCCATCATCAATCATCAATGCACATTAAATATGATTAACATCATCAAAACACATCACATATGTTGATCAATGTTCCACTTTCTGCTCCTTCATGTCTGGTTCTGTTACAGTAATCGATGCCACTAAAGATAAACATGGTTGAGTTTCTCTGATGCTGAGACATTAGTCCTCTGATCCTAGAAATGTTCTTCAACTGATAGGAGGCCCACTTTAGAACCGTCTTTATGTGGCTCTGAAGGTTCAGGTCAGAGGTCAGCCTGATCTCTAGTTTCCAGCCGGAACAATTGACGCTGACTCTAGATATATAACTCTAGATCTATAATTCTAGATTATTCCTCTTTAGATAATAAGTTCAGTTTCTGTTCAGCAGGAGGAAGTTGTGGCACATCCAGCTGTTCTCAGCATCTGTTCAGTGATTGGATGGGGTCAAAGGTCAGGGTCAGATAACTAATCATCATCTGATCCATCAGGTTCAACACTGGCTCAGGAACAGGCACCGTGATCAGCGAAGTCCAGATCAGCCAGGGTCGCTGGCACCAGCTGGTGGTGACACGCAGCCGGCGGATCGGCATGCTCAGCGTGGACGGCGAGCCGCACGTCCAAGGCGAAAGTCCCCATGGGACAGACGGCCTCAACCTGGACACCTCGCTGTTTATCGGAGGGGTGACGGATGACCTCAAGCAAGAGTAAGATGCTGCGGCTGCTGCTGCTGAGCATCGGAGGGGTGACGGATGACCTCTAGCAAGAGCAGAACATCCATCCTGACTTGCTGTGTTTTCTGCTGCTCAGCGTCAGGGAGCGGACCGGGGTCACCGCAGGGCTGGTGGGCTGTATCCGCATGCTGGACGTCAACAACCGCATGCTCAACATCCAGGAGGCCAACGGAGACAGTCTGTTCGGCGTGGGTGTGGGCGAGTGTGGGAACAACCCCTGCCAGCCGAACCCCTGCAAGAACGGAGCTGAGTGCCAGGTCAAGGAGGCTGAGATGTTCCACTGCAAGTGCAGCAATGCATTCTGGGGTAAGTCTCTCCACTGCATCGTAACTGCAGACTTTAATAAAGCTTTTACTCACCTGAACTTTATCATATTTCAGCCCTTTGCAAATAAGTATTTCATCTTATTTTGTCTTATTTTGTGTCACATTGGAGAAAAAGCTTTTGTTAACAAAACTGTGCTTTGTAGCAGATTCTCAGCTGGATTTGAATCTCACATCAAACCAAACGATAAATCCAAGCAAAAACATTCATACTTCTGTCCTTAATAAAACTTTTATTGTGCTAATTAATGCCATCCATATTCACATATGCTGAGTTACTAAACTTTTTAAGACTTTACAGTCAGATTAGTGGAGAAAAGTCACAACGGTGGTGTTTCTAGTTATGCCAGCAACAGGAAGAGGTTGTATGAAATCTCATGTTGCTGCAATGCAGCAGTAGATCTGAACAGATGCAGCTTTAAAACCAGCTGGGAGTCAGACTCAATTTGAAATGACTTTGGGTTAAACTGTAATGGACACAGAGACAGAAAAGAGATAAGAGGAGAGCCAACACCCTGGAGTCTGCTTTTAGAAAGAGAAACCCCCCAACAATCCATAGCAATGAGCATCATAACAACTACATCATCACTGAAAAGTACACAGTACAAATTAACGCAAGTGTCAACCGTACCCCAAAATGTTGTTTATCTGGAAACCGTGTGAACACAAACACACAGACTCTTCAGTAGAAATGATCACTGTGAGCTAGACTGAACCATCCCAATGGTGAAGGAGGAGGATGTAAAGTTATATGATCAATTTCTAGCTTTCAAATCAAAGTATAATAAGAGCTAGTAAAGATTTTCTTCATTGTTCAGAATCCCAATAAAATCCAGTGTGGCTGTAATGTGACAAAAGGTTCAGGTGTAAATTTCTGTTAAACATCACAAATTGTTTTCCGTCACAGAGGGAAAAACACAAAGCCATTTTTAATGTGAATCCAAAATGAGTCACATTATATATACATATACACACATACACACATATATATATATATATATATATATATATATATATATATATATATATATATATATATATATATATATATATATATATATTTATTTATTTTAGAACAAAGACTTTATTTTATTAGTTCTGCATTCAAATTCAATGATTAACACATTAAGTCACAAACATCAATTTCCAGTACAACCAAACAAATCAGTTGAACAATAACATCCAAACGATTCGGTGAGCTGAAGTTCCAAGGAGTCTTTTCTCCACCGATCAGATAAAACACAGGTTACAAATGGATTACAAACATGAAATAAAGGGAAAATCTTCAAGCAACTTTTGCCTGCATCTTAACAGACATATGTTAAATGTACATATAAAGAGTATACCAGTGAATTTACATTTATTTTACTTGCTACAATGTTAATTGCAAATATGTCATCAAAGGGTTCCACCTTTTCTTAAAGAAATCAGTGGATATGTTTAGTTTTGCTGTTATTTTCTCCATTGTATAAACACTCACTAGTCTCTCTTTCCATTGATTTATAGTAGGGGGCAAAGGTTTATACCAAAATACTGTTATAATTTTTTTTGGCTACAAGGATTCCAAACAAGTACTGTTTTTCTTAACTTAATAAATTACTTGGGAGTTCTCCCAGAACAAAGACCAGGGGGTTCCATTCAATATAAATATGTAAAATATTTGAAATTTCCTCTCTAATTCCCTCCCAGAATGTTTTAATCTTTGGACAATCCCAAAAGAAATGAGTGTGATCTCCGACTAGTCCACACTGTCTCCAGCACAAATTTGATTTAGTTTGATCAAATTTTGAAATAATATGTGGTGTTTTGAAATATCTAATGATTACTTTCCAATAAAATTCTTTCCATGTTGGACTGTTAGTTTCTGTCCATTTTCACACACTTGCTCCCACTCTTCATCCTCAATCACAACATTCATTTCTAGTACCCACCTTTCCTTTATCCCACCCTCCGTCATACATGACTGTAAACATTTGTATAGATTTGACAGAGTTTTATCCGATTTTTTTTATTTGGTGATCTTTATGAAGAACATTTCTAAATCAGTAGGTCGTGATTTAAGAAGAGACCATTCAGTATGGGACATCAGGTAACTTTCTCAGCTGCAAATATCTGTAAAAATCAGATGCAGTCAACCCATACTTCTCCTTAATCTGACTAAATGATTTCAGAATCTTCCCTTCAAACAAGTCATCAATAAAAATTAAGTTCTTGTTTTGCCAGATTCGAAACCCTGAATCCTGTTGCCCTGGTAAAAAGTCTATTATATCCCATTTTTAAAGCCCTAGATATAGATTGAGGAGCTTTCATATTTTTTTAATCATGCTTAAAGTCTTTTGCGTGCTTTTCATCCACGTATTTGTAATTTTGTACTTGTTCCAGATTTCGGTTGAGCAAAATACAAGGGCCTGAAATGAAAATTTAGGGCATGCGCTTTGTTCCAGTGTCAGCCATGTTGTTTCTTTAGTCTGTATTAGCCAATCTACTTTGCATACAATTGTGCTGCCCAATAAAATAATTTTAAATTTGGTAAGTTAAGACCTCCATAAGGCTTACCGCTGGTCAGCTGTGTAAATTTTATTCTGGCCTTTCTTTTCTGCCAAATAAAGGTAGAGATCATTTTTCGCATTTTTTTAATCTTGTTGTTGGAATCCAAATAGGAAGGGACATAAACAAATACAGCAATCTGGAGAGAATATTCATTTTTACCGTTTCAATCCTTCCATTAAAGGAAAGCGGTAACATTTCCCATCTTTCTAAGTCCTTTTGAATTTGATCCAATAACTTCCCATAATTTGCTTTGTATAATTTGGAGACATCTGTGGTAATATTGATTCCCAAATATCGAAACCCATTAGGTGACCAGTTGAAACTCACTAATTTGGATAATTCTGAGGGCCAGGTCCCTCTTATCATCATGGCCTCTGATTTTGATTAATTTACTTTGCATCCTGAAACTACACTGAAGTCTTTCAAACATTTTAAAACATTTGGTATAGAAATTATTGGGTCTCTAATATACAGTATGACATCATCAACATACAGTGACAGTTTGTGGGTCCTAATTTTATCTGGTATACCTAGGATTGATGAGTCTGTCCTGATTAGCTCTGCTAAAGGTTCTATACCGATCTTGATAGCAAACAAGATCGGTGAAAGGCAGCATCCCTGGCGTGTTCCTCTTTTTAAGGGAAATTTTTCTGACACATAACCATTAACACGTACTCTAGAAGTTGGATTGGAATACAGTACTTCAAACCAGCTAATAAAATTTTCATCAAAACCTATCTCCAATAAGACCTGTTTCAGGAACATCCAATCCACCCGATCGAATGCTTTCTCGGCATCCAGGCCGAGAAGCATTGATGGGTGTGGGTTTTGTTGGCCAATTGAAATTACATTTAGGGTATGTCTGATATTATTTATTCTGAGTCTGTTGGGTATAAAGCTCGTCTGATCGGGATTAATAAGTTTATTAATGATCTTTTGTAGTCTTTTGGCAAAGATGGCACTTAAAATCTTGACATCATTACACAGCAAACTTATTGGTCTATAAGAGGCACATTGTGTGGGGTCTTTACCTTCTTTGTGTATGACCAAGATGATTGCTTCTGCCCATGTTTTAGGTGGATCTTTGGATATTAAAGCATAATTAAACACTCTGCATAAGAGTGGGGTAAGCTCAGCCTGAAATCATTTATAAAATTGTCCTGGGAAACCGTCTGCTCCAGGTGATTTATTATTTTTAAGCTTTCCTATATAACAGATTTCATTTCTTCTTTGGTAATTGTCCCCAATAATGCTTTCGCCTCCTCATCGTCAAGTTTGTTAAGATTAATTTGTTGCAAAAATTGCTTGATTTTATCTGCTTTGTTGGGAATGGTCACAGAATCATATAATTGTTTGTAGTGCATTTGCATTTGCTATTTCTTTGGGTTGGGATACTAGTTTTTTGGATAATGGACATGCAATTTTTTGAACGGTTCGACTTGCCTGCAACTTCCTTAGCTGAAATGCTAAAAGTCTACTTGCTTTGTTTCCCTGTTCATAGTATTTTTGGTTGGTGAAACGTAAAGCGCCCACTGCTTTGTAAGTTAGTAACTCATTGAAATCTTGTCTACACTTTTTTAGTTCCTGTAATACATTGTCCTTGTTTGTTCTTTTATGTTTAGTTTCAAGTTTCCTAATTTGTTCTTGTAAATTTTCTTGTTTTTTCTCACGATCTTTTTTAATTTTTGAAGAAAATGAAATAATTTTGCCCCTCAAGTATGTTTTGGCTGTGTCCCATAGAATAGAAGGGGAAATCTTGTCCCTATCACTAGTATCAAAAAAGAAATTAAATTAATCTTTTATATATTGGACCGTCTCTGGATTATTTAAAAGTGATGCATTCAATCTCCATAACTTTAAAGGTTTCTCCAGGTATACATTTAAAGACATTATCACAGGTCCATGATCTGAAATAGTTTGAGGTTCATTATGACATTCCTCTACTCTGTGGGCCTCTTGTTTGGGAACGCAAAAGAAGTCAATTCTGAAATGGCTCTTGTGAACCTTTGAGAAGTGAGTATAATCTCTGACTTTTGGATGTTTTGGACGCCATATTTCAACAAGTCCCATCTCCTCTAGTAGATTCTTCAGCGCCTTTGTTTTTGATAATTGATATTTTTGTTGTAATGGAAATTTGTCCTTGTAATGATTCAAGACACAATTAAAGTCTCCACCTAAAACAATTATTCCTTTTGAATGTCCCGCTAAAATTTGGGCTAGCTCTTTAAAAAAAAACCTGGATTATCCTCATTTGGGGGGTAAACATTCATAATTGTTAGAGTGGTTCCTCCAACCGAACCAACAACCATTATCCAGCGGTCTTCTTTATCATTGAGTACGTTTTCTGCAACAACGCATAAAGATTTATGAAACAGTATTGCTACTCCCCCTTTTTTATATATAGTTTTCATAGGATGCACTGAATATCTGTCG